CCAAAGTACCTATCGTTCCGACCAACCAGCCATGCATAGTGTGCGATGAATATCATCAAGCGAAGCTGGCGGCTTCCGTCGCCGGTGGCGCGTCGCTGAAGGATTCCCGCGATGAGACCTTCAACGAATTGATGGCATCAAACATGGATTCTCATCATCCGGGATGACAACTATCATTTTGTGAGTATATAAAGCTCTGAAAGAAGTGTTCTGACCTGCTACAGATCAAGCAGTCTCATTACCATCATCTTTCAATCGAATCTCACTACGCTTTTCCTCCCGAATTTCACTACGACTTATCAATCCACCCAGCTTCGACATCACAAACATTCAGCAATGTCTCAACACACCATCTTCGTCAGCGGCGCAACAGGCACAGTCGGCGGTTCAGTCGCGCGAAACCTCCTCGCAGCCGGCATCGCAGTCCACGCCCTCGCCCGCAACCCAGACTCTCCCGCCGCCAAAGCCCTCTCCTCCCTCGGCGCCTCTCTCACCCCAGGAAGCTATGACGACCAAGGTGCCCTCGAGGAGGCGATGAAAGGCGTCACAGGGGCCTTTTTGAACCTGATGCCCGACTTCGTTGACCACACCTGGGAACTCAAGACGGCGAAGCGCATCATGGCCGCTGCGAAGGCGGCAGGCGCCACACACTTCATCTACAGTAGCAGCTTCTCGGTAGATGCTCCCCAGAAGCTCAAGTACTGGGATCCCGAAAGCTTCACTGCTATAGTCCTTCTCTCGAAGCAGGCTATTGAGAACGAGGTCCGGAAAGCGGGCTTCGAGCACTGGACGATCCTACGACCCGGGAACTTTACGGCGAACTACATCCTCCCGATCGTTGCCGTGTACCCGGATCTTGCCAAGAAAGGGCGCTTCGTAACAGCTCTGACGCCCGAGACGAAGTTGCCGACGGTGGACCCGAACGATATCGGACAGTTTGCGTTGGCGGCGTACCGGGATCCTGTCAAGTTCAACACTCAGGAGATCTCACTTGCGTCGGAGCTCCTCACCGCAGATAATATCATGGGGAAACTTGCGAGGTTTACGGGGAAGGACATCAAGGCTGTCTATCTCTCTGATGAGGAGGTTGAGGCGCAGAAAGGAGGGAACCCGTTCTTGGCTGGACAGCTGGCTATGCGTGACATGGATCAGTTTGCTGATATTGAGGGGACAAGAAGCTGGGGAGTTGCCTTGGGGACCTTTGACGAATATCTGGAGCGGGAGAAAGAGAGGGTCAGCGAGACCTATGGACATCTTGCATAGATTTTTGTAGGGTGGTTTTCTCACAGGCTGCAAACGAGAGGAACGAGGACAACATACCAGAACCATGAGTCGATAGGATATATCAGACATCATCCAATATTAAACCCCCAAGCCTCGCCATGCCTCTCCCTCCCCCATCTCGCCATACCCTCCCCCAACCCCTGCGTCACCCCAGCATCATATCTCATCCCGCTGTCCGCCCACGCAACCCTTCCCGTCCTCCACGTAACCCACTCCTCCGCCAAACACCCCTCAGGCGCCCTCAAAATTCCAGCAGCGACATTGACCAACCTCTCTCCATTCGCCTGCTTCCTACCATCCACCCCAAAATACGCCATCACACTCGCGCCACACGTCCCGCAGAACGACCGCTGCACGTTCTCAGACGACTTGAACGTCTTGGCCGTCCCGCCGAGCTGGAGGCCCTCGGGCACGGAGGGGGTGATGCAGCTCTCGGGAATACAGACCCATGCTATGGCGTGGACTCCCGTTTGAAGACGGCAGTCGTCGCAGGCGTCTACGCAGGCCGGCCACTTTCGCGAGTCAACGGGCGAGAGCCAGGCTTCGTAGGCTTTATCCTCGAGCATGGAGGCCTTGGGGCGGGAGATAGTGAAGGAGACGCCGCCGCAGTGGCATTGTGCGCGGAGGACCTCTTCGCCGTCTACGCCGACTTCTCGCCCGTGTCTCGTTGTAGGCGTCGCGGCTTCAGATTCGTCCTTCTTGGGATTCCAAACGTTCATCTCTTTGCCGTTCACGCGAGGGAGCCATTCATAGAATCCCCCGCCCGGCGCGGAGGCCGTGTTGACGTGAGACCGGATATCCCAGACGGCGGGTACATCATCCTGATTCGCGTCAAAGATGGACGCCGAGATAACCCAGTCGTCGTCGACGACGCCCACGTCTCCGACGTGGCAGCTGCACGTACTGCAAAAGTACCGTGTGCTCGAGGCCGTCGCGTGGCGATAGGCCGTGAGAGAGGATGACAGCGAGGACGGGGCGATGAAAGAGGGTGATACGCCGGATGGCAGGGGCGCGTGGAAGATGCAGAGGGTTCCGTGGGTGTAGCGGCAGATGCTGCAGTGACAGAGGTGGACTTTGAGGGGGAGGGAGGTGGTTGGTAAAGTGAGGGTAAAGTGGACGGCTTTGCAGTAGCAACGGGCCGTGAGAGTCTTTGTTGTCGGGGCAGACCCGGTGGGTTGGGGATGGTCTTCACTCATTGCAATGTGAATTGTTCAAAGCCACATTTAGATTGAGGGGATATTCGATGAATTGCGTTGAAACATGTTGAAGCAATGAGGTGCGGAGCTTGACTTGAGCTACCGGTCTCACTTCCTTTTTCAGCTGAGCGATAAGAATCAACTTGACATGACGCCGAAGGGCGTGGTGCAAGTCGAGTTAGCCTAATATGCGGGGTTCAACCGCCACGAGGAAACCACACCGACAACGTTTTTGACACAATAGCTATGTGGCGTTGCGATGTTGAATCAGTTTCTTATTACTACAGTTCATTACATATATTGCTAGAGGTGTTTTCGAATAACTATCTAAAAGGGTATCACTGAAGGCCGCGTTCATACTCATATGGTATCACAATCTCATGCTGTGCTCTTCTTGCTCTCCTTCTTGAGCACCTTGTCCTTTGCGTCCTGACGCCACTTCACGCCCCAGTACATTATGGCCAGTAATGCAGGGCTGAAGACGATATAGAGAAGAGCCAGGAAAGTAAAGGCCCACCCCACGCCCATCCCGTTAATCATGGGAATGATCGCTGCGGTGGCCGCAGCGCCGAGTAGACACCTCGTAAAGTTGTTCGCCGCCGTCGCAGTCCCGGCTTTACCTGGGTGGATGTCGATAATGAGCGTATTGGTCGTGTTATTGAATCCAATCATGCCGACTCCGAAGAGGAAGAGCAGCACGCATGGCACAGCCACGGGCGCCCGGAGGTGTAGAGCCCAACCCCAGATGAGCAGCAGAATCGAGCTGAGATACAGCAGCGGAAGACCGACTTCGAGGCGGGCTTTCTCAATGGGGAACCCAGTCATGTCTTGCTGACGAGACTTATCGTAGGGAATCCCAAGGCGCTTGCAATGCCGGCGGTAGTTCCAGTTGATTAGAGGTCCTACAAGAAAGGCAGCCACGACTGAGCCGCCAGCCATGGGCAGGTACATGAGGCCGACCTTAAGACTGTCGAAACCGTAGATCTCCTGGAACTGGGTCGGCATGGACGAGGCGATAGCGTAAAACCCAGCAAAGACAATGGCGCTGAAGCCGAGAAGTAGCCCAAGCTCTCTCTCGAAGAGTAAACGAAGTGACTCGAAGGGGTTGATCTTGAACTTGAGAGTTGGTTTGACAGTGTTTGATGCTCCTGTTATTTGTCTCGTCACCAGCGCTCCATCTTCCTTCTTGGCTTTGTAATGATCCTTGATAAGCTGGAAGCCGGTTCGGTAGAGCTTTGGCGGTCGCACGGAGCCATCATCCACAATCCTCCTGCAAGTCTCTGGGAAGAAGAGAAGAAGAACTATGAAGAAGACGCCGGCCAGAATGGCAAGAAACCAGAATATGGATCTCCATCCTAGATACTGTGCTAGAACACCACCGAGGACTGGCCCCAGTGCGGGCGCTAGGACAATGGGTATAACAGTAAGACCAACGTACTGTCCCCTCTCGGCCGATGTGATGCTGTCTGCCACGACAGCTGAGGCCAGAGCAACGGTGCTGCTAGACCCTGCAGACTGGATGCAGCGAATGACGAGCAGAGAAGCAAAGTTCTGCGAGAGCGCAAGGCCAATGTTGGCCGCGATGTAGACGACGAAGCAAATCACATATGCAGGGCGTCTGCCGCTCTGATCAGCCAGAGAACCGATGAACATAGGCACGATTCCCTGAAATATCATGTAAGTCGTCAGGGTAAGGTTCATGTCCGAGTCGGAGACGTTGAACTCGTGAGCGAGAACAGTCAGAGCGGGAAGGTAGATTTGCGCGGTGAAAGGCGAGAAGAAGGCAGCCAGAGCGGCTCCCAGCACGATGAGCCGCTTCTCCCATGTCGTATAAACTGTAAATGGTGGAGGCTGTTGTTCTTCTAGCGGTGTAGCTGCTTCCTCGTCCACTATTGTAGATTTGGTAGAGTCGACCGGTGGCGCTGACATGTCTGAAGACGTGGGACTCGTTGGTCGAGACATTGTTGGCGATGATGTTGGATCTCAGTCTCGGCCAGCCTTAATACAGAGCCTGATGATGAGAAGTGCAGTAAGAGGAATGCCAGTCATTGGGGCAAATGGATTGATATATACATGTTATTGCCGAGATCAGGACTTATGATAAAAAAAGTCCGTCTGCGGCTAAGTACTTGACTAGGCAGTCATTGGGGCACAATCGGGCATTTTGGGGGCTTTGGGGCCATTTGGGGGTATTTGGGGCGCAGATGTAATTGATCACCGTTCGTTCGGTGGAACTAATACGACATCGTTGTCAGAATGCATGCTCGGTGCCGAGTCGGCGTGTGTCGAAGAGTGAGCGTCGGCTGGAGTTGCGACAGTATCAGGCTAGCGGACAATAAGACTTCGGTATCTCTCTGTCTTAGTCAATCTGTGCCCCGTGGGTCTTTTGCGGCCCAAGTAGAAAAAAGCGTAAGATCCCGGCGATAATCACACTACCGCGTGACTTATCCATCGCGGACCTCGACCCGAAGCCCTCGAACGGAGTGCTGAGCGGGCCGCTCTCGGCAAAGACATATAATCATGGTTGTCTCGTCTATTCGATGGTAGCAGAAGAAGAAAAGTTCAGCCATAAGAACGTGTCATGGTCATTGGGAAACAACATGATGTGATGAGTGCGATGGAATATCGAGGTGAAGTTGAAGGTTTAGAGTTACACTTGAACTTACACGGAACGCCAAGAGGGAGGAGGACGGAGCCAGGGAGGAAGGCACCTCCGGGATGGGGCGGACCGTCTTCGGGAAATTTCGACACTGTACGTACACACAGTACGTACAGCTCTGTCATCGATTGGGAAGGCGGTAACGTGTTGTCTTGGAGAAGCCACCTGGAGACTTGGAGGTACCCTTGTACTTTTGGGAGGGAGCTCCAGCATGAAGTGTTCAGAGCTCCGTCGGGCTTCAGGCAGTCCCTTACCTTAGACCTCAAGACCCTGCATTCACTCAAGAGCTGCTCTCGATATCTACCCTCTTAACCTCTCCTGTCTCGAGAACTACCCTACACATCTTTAGACTCGGTGCCCTGTCGCATATCAGCCCAAAATGGTCAGTCGTGCAGACTCCCTCCTAACCTTAACCCCAGACGCGCCGTACTCACAAGCTGCAGAACGTCCAATACAACTCGGCCCTGCGCCAGAGCAAGGCCATCCGCAACGACCTCGAGAAGCTGTCCTCCTCAGCTGCGCAACCAGCTGCCTTGACCCCCGCCGAGATTGGCAATGTGTCTGCATCTCTCGCCTCTTTTTCCAAGACCGTCGACGAATACAAACAACTAGCTCGCCAGGAGCTCGTACCCAAGAAACAAGAAGAAGCCTACGAACGAGTGAAACGGTTCCGCGATGACCTCTCCGATTTCCGCTCTCAGGTCGACTCTCTCAAGAAGGCTCGCGAAGAAGCCGCCCACAACAATAATCGAGGCGAGCTGCTAGGCCGTCGAGCTTATGTCACAGCCACACCCGAAAACCCCTACGCCAACGTCAATAAGTCGTCCCAATTCCACAGCCGAGGCGCTTCGACAGGTCAGGCCGGCGGCGGTGGGCTGAGCATGGGCGGAAACGATGTCACAAGAGAACAACACGCCCTGCGAGAGCAGAACTTCTTTGCTAGCACCAACTCAGCCTTGGACGAATACATTGCTCGCGGGCAAGCCGTACTAGGCGATCTTGGAACGCAGCGCGAAATGCTCAAGAACACCCAAAAGAGGCTCTACTCTGTCGGTAACACGCTAGGCATCTCTGGCGACACCATTCGCATGATTGAGCGCCGCGCCAAGGAAGACAAGTGGATCTTTTGGGCTGGCGTCATCATCTTCTTCCTCTTCTGCTGGGCGTGCATACACTTTTTACGGTAAACGCACATCACATTTGGAGTCGCGCCGCCAGAGACGAGAAAACGACGCTGGGCAATAAGCAGGGCAAAAGGCATTGGGGAGTCGGCTGCAGTGTATGCGCCGTACAAACTTTTCGTCATCATGGAGCTCTCCCTGTACAACAAGCGACGGTCGACTTTTTTTTTTTCGTTTGACCTCTTTTTTGGTTTATTCAGTGCCCACAAGAGCAATGGTGAAAAGCACCGTTTCGGTTGTCTCGATCTCGACCACCCTTGTCTCGGGCAGCACGTGGTTGCTGGTGCTCATGTGGCCCCCAAACTTGGTCTCCCAGTTCTCCACGTCCCATTCGAGGCCCTTGGTGGTGATGTAGCTGGTCCCGCCGATCGGGATGATGCCGACGTGCTTGCCAAAGACGTCTTCGCCGTATTCGCGGACCCAGATGCTGTGGTGGCCGGGCTTGAGGAGGAAGGTCAGGCTCTGGCCGGAGACGAGGTACAGCTTGCCCTGGGCATAATCCGGGCCCGGCTGGAAGAGGTATAGATGGTGCACCTGGCTGAGACCCTGGTCAACGCGGCCACCTAGTCCACCGAGAGCGACGATGTCAGTCTCGGGGCCGTGGTTTGATCGAATCCATGAGACGGCCTTGGCGAAGTCTGTTGAGTACTGGTCGGGATCATGTATGACTTGGGCTGGCTTTTCTAGCGTTGTGTAGTAGTCCTTGACGGAGGGGAGGAGTGAGTCCAAATCCCCGATGATAACGTCGAGGTTGTTCTGTATGAGTCAGACAGTGTCATCGTGATGACGAGAGATGCAGGCACTCACGTATGGAGGGCGGGATTGAGCCTCAGCTGCTTTGTTCAGATCGTATAGCCTATTTGCTCCGCCATCTGCAGCAACTCGTGTGAGGGCTCCATGAAGAGTCAGCATGGGATCAGGTCAAACGAGTGCAAGAAGGTTGTACCATTTGTCCATAATGAGTCAAAAACTGGCGTCTGCCTCACAGGTTGGTTGAGTACAATGAGAGAAAAGTCGACAGTGCTTGGTTGCTCTGGTTTCTTGTCGCGGAGGAGACCTATCGGCCGCCATTCGAAACTTGGCGACATACTGAAGACTCTCTCTTTGGTCTCTCTCTATCTTAGCACAAAACTACCTCAGTCAGAGGGTCAGATAGCCAGAAAGACAAGGATATCTCTAAATACAAGTGGCCCTCTCGAAAAGTGCAGACGTGTCAGACTTTGCCTTGATTGTCGCTCAAGTAGCAAAGTTGAAGACTGCAGAGAGGATAACAAACCTGTATCACCAACTTGCATCAGGTACTTTATTCAAGGTTGAGTTGTCCATGATGCGTTTCTTACGCAGGCGTAGTCAGTCATCAGTGTCACCGGCCTAAAAAGGAATATCTCGCAGAAAGTGGTGCACGGCATCAGCAGCCAATGAAGCGTCGAATCCCTCAGATTTTAATTGGATTTTTTGGACCGTCCGATCGGCCGGACCTTGCAGGCTGCATCGAACGGGCGTGGCGGGCGTCGGTGGGCGTGACAGGCTTGGGCCAGCGCAATCGAGCGATAATGCGCCGCTAAAACTCCGGCAGAATCCGCCCATCGAAGCTTCAATTTTCTTTTCCATCCAGGATTACCAACCAGTAACGCTTGGAAAGCTTACAAGCTGTCCACGACCAAACCCGTGCCCTCCGCCCATCTCTCTAATTCCACTTTGTCGTTTGTCTTTTGCAATTGCACCCACATCCCTTTTTCCTTTGGTTCAGCTTTCCTACATACAATACATTCACATACACAATGTATCGCAGCGGCATGCGTTCGGCGCCCCGCGCCCTCAGCGCCGCCCGACAGTCGGCACTTCGCGCAGCTCCCAGACGATTCGCCTCAACAGCACCCGCCGACAAGCCCAGGACGTGGAAGGGTGCGGCAGTAAGATGGGGCCTTGCCGCTGGTGCCCTTTACTGGTACAACACAAGTCCAGTCTTTGCCGAGGAGCCCATCCGTATGTCTCCCGCGCCGATGAAGGAAGAGATGCTTAGAAGAACGTGATCGTTTCTAACTATGTGTTGCTCAACAGCCAAAACGATCGCCGCCCCGTCCCAATTCTCCGAGTCCGATCTTACCACCGTCGATGCCATTGTCGAAGAGAAGCGCAAGCGAGCCATCGTAAAGGCCGAGGAGGCCAAGCCCGCCGCCGCCGCCGCCCCCGTACCGACAGAAGCCAGCGAGCAGACCAAGGCTGCGCTCGAGGGTGAGGCCGCCGAGGGAAGCCCGGCACCCGCCCCCGGCTCTCCTGAGGCATTGGAGGCCGAGGCGGATCAGCAGGGTGCCTTCAACCCCGAGACGGGCGAGATCAACTGGGACTGCCCGTGCCTGGGCGGCATGGCTGACGGCCCCTGTGGAGAGGAATTCAAGGCTGCGTTTAGCTGCTTCGTCTACTCAAAGGAGGAGCCCAAGGGCATGGACTGCATTGAGAAGTTCCAGTATGTATTAGGGGGCGATGTGGAAACGAGATGTAGTGTGAGGAGTGCTAACTGGAATTTGCAGGGGAATGCAGACGTGCTTCAGGAAATACCCCGAGGTCTACGGCGACGAGCTGGCCGATGACGAGGGCGCCGATGAAGCCGAAGCCGCCGCCGCCGCGCCCGCTCTCGACGCCAATGCCGATGCCGCGATTGCGCCGCCCACCAAGGCCGTTGAGGAGAAGAAGAAGGAGGACAACAAGGATATCAAGAAGGAGACCAAGGAGACCAAGGCCGACACCCCGGAGAAGACCCCGAAGGCCGAGGTCAAGCCCGAGCCCAAGGCGGAGAAGACGAAGCCCGCGCCGGCCGAGAAGCAGGAGAAGCCCAAGGCCCCTGCGGCTCCCTCGTCTGAGCCTGTTGATCTTACCCAGCCCAACAACAAGGCCGTCGATGCGACTGCGGCGAACAATATCTAAGAACAAGAGAGTTTCTTGCTTTCTGTACCAATTTACACACAAACAGCTATCATCAGGACTGGAGAGTGAAAGGTGGGAGAGAAGGAGCGAACGCTTGACTGCGAAGCCGCAGCTGCAGGTTGCGTAGCGTACGGCGTGGCTAATGAAACCATGACGGGGGAAAATCAGGCGTATTTCATGTACCATAATCGTGTACACAGTGTACCAGTACGGAAGCAAAAGAAAAAGAACAATAGACATACACTTCTCTGAGGGTCTCCCCAAGAATCTCGTTCATTTTCCTTTTGAGTATTGATCAGTATTATTTTTGATCATAATTGTAGTGGGAATAGCTTCAATTTGCCCAACAACACAAAATATGACTCTCACGGTCCCCACGAGCATGAATAACATGGCCAGATGTACCTATTACCTATAACGACAGCACACCGACGGCTAAGGCACCTTACATACTACCTAAGGACCTATCCGAGGATGCCCCGGTGCACGACATTGTTCCTGGCCAAGATTGTGACGGCAGGACCCGACTTTTTCCCCGGCAGGTGCAGAGGAACCAGATACCCCCCACAGCGGAAGTCTGTCAGGGTTGTGATTGGCCGGGCGATCAGGTTGTCCCAAGCTCCCGAGCCGCATACGTCATACGTCATTGGTCTCCAGGCCACTACGCGCCAACCAAGATCAAGGAAAGCGCTCGCGGGGGTGCGCCATCCCATCCCGTCAAACCACCTGACGGAACCATTCCCTCAAAATTCCCTCCCATCCTCAGGCTTCTCCCGACTTCCTCCTTTCCCCCATTTCACATGACTGCATCTTCTTAAAAGGAACTCCTACCCATTCATCAATCCCGCGCGTCATCCTGTCGATCTGCCACACACCTTTTTACACCTCGCACATCTTGCATCTCTCCCTCCCTCTTTGATACCCCCAGCCGCCTCCTACACCTACCTTGCCTACATCAAAGCACAAAGCTTCTCTTCCAACCACAGCTCTCATCCCTCGCAAGTAAGTAAACAAAGTTGCGTCATACCGGAGACGTTGCGCATGCGATGCTAACAACACTACCCAGTGGCTTCCTACGCAGACATGGCCGCCAAGGGCCCCAAGCAGACTCCTGAGGAGGTACGTTCTTCTTCCTTGCATTTGATCGCGTGATCTCATTTAACCCTCAATCAACCGTCTACGTATCGTTGCTAACATTCTCTCCCTCCAGGCCGCTGCTCCCCCTCCCCCCGAAATCTCCGTCGACTCCACCGCCTCTACCTCCTCCCTCGTCGATGTCGACATGCCGAGCGTACACACCGTCCCCCACGACTTCCTCGAGCAGGAGATCCAGACAGAAACCCAGGCCGACCGCGTCGACCGCGAAGAGAAGGCCCGCGCCGAGGCCGACCTCGCCAAGAAGAAGGCCGCGTCCAAGGCCCGTAAGGCCGACTCGTGGCTCAAGCGCCAGTTCTCCTCCCTCTCCGACGGCACCGCCAGCGCCCTCGTCGTCTCCAACCTCGTCGGTGTTGTCGGCCTCAGCGCCTTCCTAGGATACAAGGCATGGGGTCTCTACGAGCGCGGCCGTCTGTCGTGGCAGAGCGTCGGCCTGGGCTTGGGCATCCTTGGTGTTGTTGGTCTTGGAGAGGGTATCTTTGGAAGGTAAGCATTCACTTTCTCGTTCCCAGTGACCACGAGCTATGCGCATGGATACTGACTGTTTCTTCCCCATAGCTACCTGTACAAGACCAAGGGCAAGAAATAGACTGACAAGTGCGCGTCGGGGACGACGGCGGCTCTGAATTTCTTTTCTTCTTCTACTACCTAACCTAGCTTGGGAAACTACTCTTCTCTATTTGGCATGTTTGCACGGATGCTGGCTTGTTGGCGTGTAATGGCGTCTTTACGAACGAACGACGTCGGATAAACGGCTCTTGGCTGTAATGTATGTACTGGGCGTTCGGGGCGAATATGGAAATGCACACACACAATCTCCTCCAAAACACACTTGTTCTCTCTAAAGAAGTGCTCAAACAACTTTCTCCTGTTGGCTGACTGTAGATGACCTCACGACACCACACCGCGATTCCAACATTGATAAGATTCCGAGTCTGGGTTATACCACACACACCAAATGGCAATATCAACAATAATATTGAATATACTAAGAAAGGAGACCGTCCGTCCGTCCGCCCGGTCTGCCATTCCGCCTCCGGTTTAACCTCCACATAAGTTAGTTTCTGGTATGGTATGGTGGTGATCGTAGAAATCATACAGGGGAAAGAAAAAGAGAAAGACGAAGAAAACAAAGAGGAAAACGAAGAGGGAAAAAAATAACAAAAGGTAGGTTTAGCCAAAGCTCAACATCAACCCCACCCCAAAGTCGCTATGCCGTTTGGTTGCTAACTCCTCCAACCCCGTTGTGAACCCTTCCCAGACCCGGACACCTTGTAGCAAAACGCCCTTCGCAACCCAGTCTTCTGTTCAACCGTTTGAAGCCAACCTAAGCCTTGCCTTTAGCCGTTGCCCGCTTTGCCCACACGCACATACGCACACACACGCACACGATAAAGCCTTTCTTACATCGATCGATCGAAACGCCGCTCGTACTCGACCCCGAATCCTACACTTCCTCCTCTTGCGCCTGCTGCCCAAGACCACATAGCGACAGGGCATTACGTGTTGCGGCTGTTGTTGTGCAGCTCTCTCAGGCGCTTGACCCAGTGCTTGCGTAGCGCCGGCGACATCTTGCAAAAGATCATGGCCTTGTTGTCATCCGCGAGAGCCTTCTCCGCAATCTTAAGCTGGAGGTCCATGTCTTCGTCGGAGAAGTCGCGGAAGAAGATGTCAATCGCCTGCTCGGGCCACCGCGGTGGGCTCCGGCCGCGGAGAGCGTCGGCGATCTTGATCAGCCCGTCCTCCATCAGCTGCTTGCCGGCGGAGACCATGTTTGCCGTCGTGGCGTCGTTGCCGTGACTGTGGCTATGGCTGTTTGATGCGCCTGGCCCCGATGCTTGCGCGGGGTTCGTGTAGCCTGATACACGTCGGCGCTTCTCTGCCGGTTGCGCCGGTGGGCCCATGGGCGCCGTCGGCGCTTTGCCGCCAGTGTCGGATGTCGATACTTGCTGGGGAAATCTTTTGCGTCCTGTGGCAGTTTCCTCGGGGGGCGTCAAAGCGCTCGTGCCTGCGATATGCGTCCTAGGCGGAATCGCGGTGGAAGTGGGCCGTTGCTGCTGCTGCTGTGGTTGCTGGTGCTGTTGCTGCTGCTGCTGTATTTGTTGTTGTTGTTGCTGCTGGGGCTGATGTTGCTGTTGGGGTATCATGGGTTGTTGGACTTGTGCTACGGGAGACTGGCTTACGGAGCCGCGAGGCTGTACTTGGTGGTTGATGCCCGTCTGTGAGGAGGTTCCGTAAGGCGGCTCAACCTGAAGATCGAGGACTGCGGTGCCCGGCATATCCGGGTCTTCAGATCCTTGAATCACATCGGGACCCTTTCGCTTCGGCTTCATGATACGTTTAGGAGCACCTCCAGAACCGACGACGTCAGGATACAGGATTTCCATGAACGATTCATGGTCGAATGGCCGACCACGCAACGCGCGCGATAATGGCTCTTTCTGCGGGGAAAGGGTCAGCGACAAAAGTCCGACACGACAATGATATATGAGGTATACGGGGGGGAGGTGGACAGGTGGATTAGCGCGCGCGCGCGCGTCTTCACCAACATACCTCGATATGCGCTTTCCAGGCCTCCTCGGACGCGGTGACGGTACGGGTGGTCGGGTTGTAGAGGAACTCGGGGTCCTCGCGAAGCCCGCGCCAGAGACGAAATTTCTTGCGCGCATTATCCGACTTGTTGACGAGATGGCTCTTTGTCGGATATGCGCCGTGCTTCTCGCGAAGAGCGGTGGCAGCGCGATCCCAGGCGTCGGCCTTGAAGGAGTGGTTCTCGCGTAAGCCTAGCTGGACCGAGTCGCAAAGGGATCGGAAGAAGGTGGCCTCGTAGGCGGGCGTCCAGCTGAAGCGCGGTGCACGCTTGTCGCGGTCTCCGCCGGCGCTGCCGGGTGGGCCATCCGGGCCGCCGAACTCATCGTCTGACATTGAGTCCTTTTGTCGACGACGAGAGCAGACGGAACGGGGAGGTTAGAGGACGGAGAGGGAAGAGCGGAGGGGGAGGGATGGTAGTGGCCGAGCAGGACGAAGGAGGATAAGGGTATCCCCCAAGCGTCGAAGCGTCGAAGCGTCGAAGCGTCGAAGGGGGGGGGCAGGCAGACAGTTGGGGACAGATGGGCGGTGGTGGTGGTGGTGGTGATGGTTAGTGGCGGCAATAAGGGTCGTTATGCGGCGGTAATGTCTTGGACCCCTACTTTTCGTATACGGAAGTCGCGATCCAATATGGGCCGGGTTCGGAGATGGAACGGGCAGCCAGGGCCGTGATGTTTGGATCTGACGGTGGCGAGGGGAGGGGAGCAGCCAAAAAAAAAATTTAGTACGGAGTAGACAGAGGGCGCGCGCAAAGGTCCTTGGATGAATGGATGGACGGATGGTTTGGGGGGCGTGTAGCGCAGCGGTACGGTGCGGTGCGGTGCGGGCGGGTTTGGTGGTAGGTAGGTTTGGTTTGGTTTGGTTTGGTTGGGTGAGAGTTGTCGGGTGGGCGTGTGACCGAGTGTGAGAGAGAGAGAGACCCAGCCGGAGGTTCGTCGAGTTTGCGTTGCACGGGAGTGGGAAGCGAACGAACGTTGGGTTGGGCGTGGGGAAGAACCAACTGTCTGGTGACTTTGGTCTCTGTCAGCCTCTGCCGTAGGCGTGGGCGGTGGGTTCGTTCCCCGTTCCAGGTTGTTACGTGCGTTGGGACGTGGGAGCAAGACTCTGAGAGAGTCTGGGACTCTAGGAAGCTAGGAAGCTAGGAGAGAGCGAGTCGCGGAGCCTGGAGCGCGGTGGAGGGCGGGTATCCGTACGGGTCTGCGGCTGCGCTCACCTCTTTGCGGTAAATGCACGAGGCTGGCTGGCGGCTGGAGCTGAATCGTGAACGAACGAACCCGGCGAGATACAGAAACCATCCACAGACGCAGACGTAGACGGTAAGGTACTCCGTACTTTGTACGGATAATCAGAGCAACAGTTCAACGGAGAAAAGAGTTGAAGCGGGGCATTGATAGATAGTAAGTGACTTGGTTAGTTGGGAGCGAGTCGGGCGCAAAGTCACGTTCTCCTCTCGCAGACGGCAGCCGGGAGTGGTACGGTACGGTGCCTTTACCAATGGTGACAGCAGCCACGAGAGTCCCCCGGTATTGGACCGGACCAGACTCATCCCTTTGCACTAGTCTACTTCAGGACTAGCTGCTAGAGATTATGCTCAGAGGGGCCGGAGGGACGGAGTCGGGGTCCAGACAGTTCCAGACAGCCAGCCAGGTGCCCACGGGTGGTTCCCGATTGCTTAGTCACGGCAGCACGTGGATGGTCATGATCTTCCGTTCCCGTGCCAGCCGGACTTTAGCCTCCACCTCAGCTTCTGCACGGACCATATCAGATCACGTGGGGGCATGCGTCTTCCCAATCTGGCACCCCAGGTTAGCTTGCGCTTAGTCATTCTGCCCATCTTGGCGTAGCGTTGCTTTCCTCTCCTCCAGCCTTGTCTATAAGGCAGAAACTTGTTCTCTGCTCATCTTCCCCAGTTCAAACGGCAAGCCTCCACCACCGCCACGGCCATCATCCGGCTTGGCAGAAACACCAAGATATCTTCGCAGGTAATCGATCCTCCAAGCTTGTCTAATGGAGTCGCCGTGTCTGTTCTTTACGCAGTACGTTTGTTTCCCCCCCTCCCAAAAGCTCTATTCAGACATACTTTGCGCCTTAACGTGGGCGGTCCTGCAAGCCCGTTTCTTCACTCCCTCCCACTTTATTTAGCCAACATATGCAAGATCAAGCTTTCTTATGCCTACGCTCCCCTGACCAGTGTATCGAAATGGATCGCAATCCCCGAGATGGTCTGTAAAGTACCTTGAAATTAGATTTCCGACTCGTTGGTTCAGGCTTGTTCGACTCCTCAACCAAGGCTCTGACCTCATCGCGAGCGTGCCGTCATCACATCGAACACCAACACATCTCAAAATCTTTATTATCATCTCCGCCTCACATGCTCCTCCCTTCTTCAGACAATGACCTCTAGATCCTCGGGCTGCAATGGGCGCACCCATCATTGCTACTGCGGTACTCCCGAACACGAAAGATGGTGTAAGCGGATGTGGTGGCCCCGGACAATAGCTAACAACCCGTGTGTACTGCGAGTTGCTGACTCTGGCTGACTCTGAACCACCCGACTCTGCCACCTCTATATACCGGTGATTACACTACCCTCAAAGTTACTCACCTTGCCAAGTCGCCAAGGACGGTGTCCGAGTCGCCCGTCTCGTAGACTTTTCGACGTTGATGGCAGCAATCAATGCAGAGATTGCCAATTGAGCCGTACGCATTCAGACCGGGCAATTTACTCTCGCAACCACCGCACTGCACGCCCATGTTCATTAACTATCGTCAAACCATCTTTACGCCGAGCCTAAACCCGAGCAAAAAAGGCAACCTTTCCTAGTTCAACGTATCTACGGAGACTACATTTATCCAACCGGTTTTTAGGTTGGCTTTTAGAGTTGCTTCCTCCGACATGACAACTTTCTTCCATGTCTCCCGTGGCCCTGCGCCGGTTCAGATGATGGGCATTAGGGTGCAGTCCACTCTCGACTCACGGCAGCAGACCGATTATAGTTGATCTCATCTTTGTAGTGGCCGCAGGGCAGGGTCCCGTTTTCTCGCAAATTGAACGGCCTAGCTTCGAGCCCAAGTTCAAGTTTGCCTGTCTTGCCCTATGGTCGTCATGCCACTTCCACGAATTGTGCACACTCAGCGCATAGCAAATGTCTTTATAGGATGGATGCACGTGATATGCTACCGGGATGGATAGATCCCATCCCTCCAGAGCTTTCTCTCGCCTCTTCACACTTCGGTCTCGGGGTCCATCTGGTAAGGTCCCTGAGGAATACGATGCGGTGATCTGCCTGGCTGCAACGTCGAATATTCGAGGCGAAGTGCGTCAGCCGTCGTCGCAAAACATGAAGTGGAAACGGATCTACGGGTATGACTTGATGCTCAGCGCCAGCAAGGCCGTCACATTCGTTTCTCTACGGGACAAACAGTATTGCAAATCGTGCAACGAGGCCTCATGTTCTGCGACACCGACACCTCGCCTTTTCAGGAGCCACTAAGGTCGACTTACTCTCTCATAAGGCCTCCAGCTCAAGCCATGTCCTTGTTGCCCTTTGGGATGGTGTGGTGGTGGTGGAGGATGGATGGACGTCGACATTGAGAGCTCTCACCGGCTCGCCGCCACACTAACAATAACATGCCAAATGATACGCTGCGAGTACTTACACCTGCTGCTGCACGTACGAAGTAGCGTACCCGTACCTTGCAACCTTGCGTCAAGCGCTATACTACTTGACGCTACCTACCCGACAGTATATGGACCCCTCGCTACGCCCGGGGCACATGGGCCGCTCGGAACATTTGGCCGCTCGGAGTTTTACTGCTGGGATCCCGCCGCACAACTCTGTCTCAGAATCTTCAGTGGACCGTTTCAGGCCCTGTCAGCCTGTCCACTCACTCGACAGAAAGACTGGACTCAACGTCCATCCACGAGGACCCCCAGGAGAATGAGGGAGCCTTCACGAGAAGTTGAGACTCGAGAGAGGGGAGGGGGTTGGGGGGCACTGGGGCTTCTCCGAGTCCACCCATCATCATTCGTTATCTTCTCTCGAGAGTCTCTTGCAGCCTCCTTGCCTGGCTGGCAACATGGCTACAGCTTGCCAGCCAGCATCAACAGCCGCCGAGAGAAACTTGGTCTGGCCTGGACAACTCTGGCCACCATCGACCGATTGGGCCTCGTTGTCTCCGTTGTCTCTCTTCGCTGACTCCAACCCGGACTACGCGTTGGTCAGAAACGATGTTGACCGCGCCGTTTACCCGTGGATACGTCAGCGACCTTGCCGATGTTGCCCTGTCTTTTCGCCGGCGTTTTCAAAGATCCCAAACCCCAAACCGCCTTCTCCTGAACTAAGTCATCGCAAGGCCAAGGGGTTGTTTCTTCGCAGAGACCATGGTCAGAAAGAAACTAGAATCCAATCAAGGGAGATGAGGCCTAGTCGAACAGGAGCTCGTTCCAAGCTATGCGGCGGGAGGCGGCTCCGTCAGTCAGCTGTCTGTCTAGGTACCACACTCACACGCGAGAACGATAGACTAAGAAATGCGGACTATCGTCTACCTGACGGTCTGACAGCGACTGTGCCTGTGCCTGTGCCTGTGCCTGCCTATCCCCGGGGCGTGTCCGAGGTCCGCAAACAATGACAGTTTTGGCTTCAGCAATGGCACTTGTTTCTCCTTCATCCGATAGGGAAGAGGCCCTCGACCTAATTATGTTCGGTATCCCTCTTCCGCAACATCTCAAAGCTTAGCTCGCTAAGCAGGCTGCAACATGGAGGCCATGGAGGCCGTGGACCAGATCGCCCTTGGCAAAAAGTCTTGCTTTGCCCAGCAGTCACATTGCAGACACATCGCTACTGCGCCAAGCGCCGCGAGGCTTAGCTAGCGACGGGAGAGCAACCATGGGGATCGCTGAAACGCCAAGCGGAAACAACTGCGAACGCTGACTTACCAGAGGGTTCCAATGACGAGATTCACCCGGGATACTGTCCTCTCCCTTTCTCTTTCGAATGCACCGTCGAATGCTCGCTCGCCCATCCTTCGCCGCTCTCCCGCGCTCGATCCCCCCTCCCCTGCGAGAGAAACCCCTCCCCCCTTGATGTTGAATTACCAAGAGGGGATGATGCTGTTTTCTTCCTGTCGGTCAAAGAAAACTCACTCTCTGGTTTTTTGCCTTTCGTTTCCAACCGACTAGGTAGGGCTAGACACCCGGTTCGTTCTCGAGGGCGTGGAAGGGTTACCCGTTTGACGCTTGAGGCCAAGAATAGCAGCAGCAGCAGCAGCATCCGGTCCATACCCTACTCAGTCCTCGCCTGAGGCTGGCTGCTTGACTTTACTGCTCTTTCTCTGACCCATCGTCGGATATCCGCCATCCTCTTTGTCAGTGTTTTGTCTGATGAGAAGCCGCCCCAACTCGACAGCTTGCCGGCATCCAGCATCCAGCATCCAACTTGATAATTGGAATAAGGCCTGTGGGGAACATGCGTGGGCCACCACATCTACCTGCTACGTCGTCTAAATGCTTAGCCACGCTTACTTGACCTAGACTTCTGGACCAACGGAACCAAGTTCGGCTCACCATCGCCGTCCAGTGGAGAAGGGGGTGACGAACAACTTGTCTGGCCATCTGCACCAGGACTGGTCTAAATGCAACGGCCCGGCTAGCTGGTCCCGAGAACATCGCCCGACGATCAGCATACGCTTGGCTGCGGCGAGCTTGTGTCTCTCTTGCAGTAGCCTACGGCACTTAAGCCTTGTAAGTTGTGGCAGAGAAAGAGTGTCGGCGCTAGGGGAGATCTGACAGCGCCCTCCGTCTTACCGTCTCTGCTTTTCTCTTCGCTGCCGGGCGCCAAACGTACATATGCTATACCAGACTGAGATGGTGGTGGTGTTGCTACTGCTTGTCTATTGTGATTAGAGAGAGGGACCGGGATCACATCGCATTGTCAACCTGCCAAATCAACCACGCTTAAATGGGTTGAAATAAGCTAATTGAGACCTCAGATCAACGGCTCGCCAGTTTCCATGGCTCATGAGACTTTACATCCGAAGCACGATATTTCTTGGCTCTCACTCAGACCTACCTCAACGGGCTTCTGCATAGTTGCGAACAGAAAGTGAGCATGGGAAAGGTCAGAGCCGCCACGCAGAGACAGATGCACACCATCCACGTCCACACCCACCCACAGCTCAGCATTCCCCCTTCCCCTTGCCCCCCTCCCCCCTCCCCTGCGCTAGCCTCCCGGCACCGATCGACCGATATCCCTGCTCTGGATCACGGCCTTGTCGACTGTGGGGTAAGGGGACTCCCCTGCTTGTGACCGATCTTCTCCTCGACGTATTCGCAGAATTCCAAACATGCTACCAGATCCACCTCGTTGCCGCAACTCATGTCTTGGGTCCTGACTGACGGGAGGGAACCCCGATCCCAGGCGGAAGCGCACACACCCTCCCCTGGTCCTCCTCCTTCAGGCTTCGCCCTCCTTCTCCTCCTCGCCTTCGCTCTCAATCAGAACCTCTGCAGTGGTTCGACCGGTTCGACGCCAGATCCGTCCATCACAGGGTTGGCCCGGCTTGACATGGACGCGCACGCCCCCTTGCTGAGCGGGACAATCTGTGACCAGGGCATCACAACTTGAGACTTGGCTCGCCTGGAGCCTCCAAGCAACAAGCGCACGACGTCGTCGTCCCATTTTTGCAACATGTATAATCCTCGCTCTCTGAGCCGGGCCAGTCGCCATCTCTTGACTTTCCTACTTTGAACATTAACCCGGCCTTGTCCACCACCTTCTTCTTTTTCTTTTCCGACCTGGGTTACTCTTCTCTTCTTGGTCATCCTCTGTTCCTTTCTTCCGCCCCCGTCACCAGTTCCGTTCATTCACGACGACTCTTGTTTAATTCTCCATTTTACACTTTTGAGGGCTCCCTGGTGACAGCTCCTCGTCCTTTTCATTAACAAGCAAAAGAGCCGCCTGGTGTGGCCTGTTTTTATATCCTCTCTGTTCATAGAGTTGTCTACCTGGTGACGGACGTCCTTTTTACATCACAATCAACATGGAGTCAACTTCATTGCGGTCGCTGGTCCTTTACGGCCTCCTGTCGACCTTTGCCGATGCCTCCCCGGTCGAGAAGCGCGCTAATATCCAAAAGCGAGGACACTTCCTCGTCCCCAGAGTGCCCAACGACAACTTCGCCGGTCACAATGGTCCGAGACAGCTGATCAAGGCGTACCGCAAGTACAGCATGCCCATCCCGCAGGGCCTGCAGGATGCCATGGACGCCATGGCGGCCCAGAACCCCAGTCCCGAGCCCGTCAAGGCCGAGGGCTTCAAGTCTCTCGCCGCTGGCGCCACGAACCAGACCGCCGCCGCTGGACAACCCGGAACCGGTCTCGTCACCGCCACCCCGATCCGCAACGACGTCGAGTACGTTTCGCCCATCAAGATTGGTGGCCAGACTGTCAACGTCGACTTTGACAGTGGTTCTTCCGATCTGTGGGTCTTCACCTCCATGCTCGACGCCACGTCCCAGACCGGTCACCAGCTGTACGACCCTACCAAGAGCACGAACGCCAAGATGCTCTCCGGACAGCAGTTCTCCATCCGCTACGGTGATGGCTCCGGAGCTCAGGGTGTCGTCGGAACCGACGTCGTCGACATTGGTGGCGCCGTCGTTCAGGAGCAGGCAGTCGAGATGGCCACCGCTGTCTCCCAGCAGTTCGTCCAGGACACCGCCAACAACGGTCTTCTCGGTCTTGCTTTCTCCAAGCTGAACACCGTCAAGCCTACGGCCCAGAAGACCTTCTTCGACAACGTCATGCCCAGTCTTGCCGAGCCCGTCTTCACTGCCGATCTCCGCAAGAAGACTGTCGGCGCCTACGAGTTTGGCCGCATCGACAGCTCCAAGTTCACCGGCCAGATGGCCTGGATCCCCGTCAACACCACCAGCGGTTTCTGGCAGTTCAGCAGTGAAAAGTTCCAGGTCGCCGGCGGTCAGGTCCAGCAGGGCACCGCCGGTGCTCAGGCCATTGCCGACACCGGTACCACCCTCATCCTCGCCAACCCTCCCATGGTCCAGGCCTACTACCAGCAGGTCCAGGGTGCCAAGCAGGACCAGCAGGTCGGCGGCATCACCTTCCCCTGCAACGCCCAGCTTCCCGATCTCATGATGGATATCGGCGGTGTCTACATGGCCCGTGTCAAGGGTGCCGACATCAACTTTGCCCAGGTTGACGCTCAGAGTAAGTTACACATTGCACCATTGCCCTTTCCAAACATCAACTAACACCATCCAGCCTGCTTCGGTGGCCTCCAGGCAACCACCTCCAAGCTTCAGATCTACGGAGACATCATGTTCAAGTCGCAATTCGTTGCCTTCAACGGTGGAAACATGTCCCTCGGCATGGCCGAGCACGTCGTCAACAGCCAACAGGCGGCAGCACCCGCGACTGGCGCTGGCGCAGCGGCGTAAGCATTGACACACGTGTGAATACACTTTACTTCTTTTGGCATTAGGATTCACTTTTTTTGATGTCCAGGGAGAACAACATGAACAACAACGCCGGCTCGACGTCCGGTAGTGAGAGGTTGACGGCTGCCAAGGGAGGGTTAATGGTCGTCCTCCAAGCCGTGTTAATCGCCATGGTCATGGGCGTCTTCTGAGACGATCGACTACAGAGAGATCTTTTTTTTGTCTTATATTCCCCTGAGGGATGTTTTGCAGGATTACATGGTGAACCTCATTCTAGCTTAGATATCCTCTGAGCTCTCTAGCCGGCATAGTAAATGAATGGCATTGTGATATAAAAACATTTTTTTCCTTCAACGTCCCCGCGTCTCTTCACTCTACTTGCTTTCCTCCGTCTTGTACTCTTGTTTGCCCACGCGCTCACACAGACTCTTCAACATGTTGCCGGTCCACTCAAAGTCGGACTCGTCGAGGAAAATCTGCGCACTCACCCTGACCCACCAACGACCATCGTGCCTGTAAATAGGCAGGAAAGTCTGGTATTCACCCATCAACTTGGATACAAGCCAGGCGCCCACAGCTGCAGATTCCGTCTCGGGAACGGTGACCGTGCCATCAGAACCCACCGAGACAGACTCCGCATCAGGACCGCTCACCATCGGCAACGCAACGTTGATCATGGCGCACTTTGTCAACGTCTCCGTCTTGTTGTCCAGAATAAACGTCCCGAGGATCGCAGCAATCTTCTTGCCGCCGTTCTTGGCCAGTGTCTGGAGGTAATCGAGAATCTGATCCTCTCCACCAAGGCTCTTACGCCACTCAATCGAGTGTTTGACACACATGTTCGGGCTGTTATCAAACGTCCCGTTGAATCCGAAATTCGTCACAAACTGCGAGTCCTTGCTCTTCGGCAGCGGGTTGTACCGAACCTGCCCGGACCGCGGCACATACCCGTGCGACGTCGGCACCGTCGACGCCACGAGGTGCTGGTTCCGCTCCGGCACGTAGAAGACGGCGCACCCGCGCGGGACGTGCAGCCACTTGTGGCAGTTGGACACGAAGAAGTCCGGGTCGGCGGCCGCGACGTCGAGGTGCACCATCCCGATCCCCTGCGCGCCGTCGACGAGGCTCATTACCCCCAACTCGCGGCAGGCGGCCGTCATGGCGACCCAGGGAAAGCAGATTCCCGGCAAGCTGGTGACGACGTCGAAGAGGCAGATCTTGGGGCGTTTGCCCTCGGCGCGGGATTGTGCGACGACGGAGCGGAAGAGGGCTACGACGTCGGCATCTTCCATCGGGTACGTCAACGGGATGCTGCGCTCCGAGACGCGGCCGTAGCGGGTGTCGACGATGTAGTCGATCGTCTTTGCACAGCCGCCGTAGATTGTGGAGAAGTAGAGGATCTCGTCGAGGCCGTCGGCCTCCCAGGACAGGTTGCGGAGGACCGTGTTGACGCCCGTCGTGGCGTTGGGGACGAAGACTGTGCTGTCGAGCGGGGTCTTTATGATGTCTGCTACGGCTTTGCGGGATTCGCGGAGGTGGTCGTGATAGGTCCAGCGGATGAAGGGGTCTGGGCGGGCCTCGGTTTCGTCTTGGTAGGAACGGAGGACTTTTTGGATGTGGCGTGGGATAGTACCGAATGAGCCTGTTTATTATGTTAGTGAACGGGAAATGAAATGTGGTTGAGTTGGGGATGCCATACCATTGTTCATGTTGTGATAAGCTGGGTCATGGAGAAATTCTTTCAACATCTGCTTGCCAAACGGTACGGAGCCGAGTTGGAGCTTGCTTGTTTCGTCCGCGAGCTCACCCATGATGAATGAGGTTCTGGATGGGGAGTGGAGATGGTATTGTCGGTGATGATGTATCGGTAATGCGATGCCGAAAGTTTTCCAATGATAAGCCTCTCAATGAATGAGAACGAATTGAGCAAAGATGAAGATGTTCTGAATCAATTGACTTTTTAACAATGTCCTATTCAATGTGATTTATACCAATATTGCTCTCGAATGTGAGTCGTACCTCAAGATGCCATTGACTCACAAATGGTTGATGGTTTATCTATCAACCCCATGCAAGACAAAAGATTAAGTCCAAACAAGAGCGGAAGCCGAGCCGCGTCCACCTCCGCATCCCGGAGCATGGGCCCATCGGAGTGTTAGCCCGCAGGTGACCCGCTGGAGCACCCGCTTGATACTCCTGCATGTTGTTCGCAGGGCGCGGACTATGTACAGAGGACGGGTCTAGCGGAATTTAAAGCGTAGTGAAGGGCGGAACGACTGCGAGCTATCGTGCGCCGACCGAGTCTAACCGAAGATTGTTTGGCTGAGTCACCTTTATTTCTCGAGGCTTGGGATGAGCGGATGGCAGGTTTGCCGTTCCTGGTGGTGAGTTGATTTGTAACATGTGCAGGATCACGATCCTCTCGTGCATCTTGAAACTACATGTTGACAAGCATGTCAGATTCCGGCGGGCTCAATTGTCCTACGAACACGGAGGCATGGCGGTTGAAGTACGAAACCACCCGATAGTCGGCGGATCAGATGCTCTTTGGGTCGAGCACTTTTAGATTATCGGGAACTCGTAAAGAATCCGGATCTGTTGAGACTATCCGTGCAACCTAGTTCTATCTTTACCGCAGAAAATTCTAATAAAGTTATGACTCTCAACAACATTATCCTAGTGATCGTTTCCGCGAGCGTGTCACTAAGCGGTGGGGCGCCTATATGACTCGAATTGGCTACAGAGGTGACAGAGCAACTTGCAACTCTTTGGTTGTTTGAGTTGGTCATCTTGCTGAATTGAATGGCGATTGAGACCTCTTATTGCAAGAATCTTCCGCGATTTCTTCAACATCAGCGAAACGGGAGGTTCAACTTTGTCGCTTGGGGGCTGGCGCGCTACATACTTAGTACAATAAAGAGGTGGAAGCATCATCGAAGATCGTGGCGGACATAGCTCAGTTGGGAGAGCGTCAGACTGAAGTTAACTTCAATCACTTAATCTGAAGGTCGTGTGTTCAATCCACACTGGCCGCATCTTCACATACCTTTTGCCATTTTCTTGCATTCTCCATCCAGTCTTCACTCTTTGGGGACAATTTCTGCGCATTTGGTCGGGATTGAGTGTCACTGTTTACTCAATTTGGTCCTTGAGCACCGTTTGGCTCATTGCTTTTGGTGCGTCACCCATCCATGTTCATCCCCAAAAGTTAATGCACAATTAACTCATCACTGTCGACACATGGTTCAGGGGCAGTAAACTAGGTTTACTGGCAGTTGTTTCATGGAAGAACTCCTATTCGATTGACTTCATCTTCTCCTCTTTGCTCTACTGTGTAAGGTCCAAATGATTATGTGCTTGAGAGTGGCATTTCAGACACTACTAGCAGTCCTTGGCCGAGCATGCGCACAACCTTAAAAGCTGGTGTTCGTCTTTGCGTTCCCGGTGCAGACACCTGGGAGTCTGGGAGAACTTCTCCGAATTGGACTCAATCAGTTGCGCGTTTCTCGTTAACCTGAAGTATATTTCGTTCTCTATTGCATGCAGCCCAGCTTGTGTGTAACTACCAGCCAAGTTTTCACAACATCATAAGCGTAACACAACAGGGCCTGGATGAGGCACTTCGCTACGAAGCAGTCGACACACCATTGGCATTGCGTCAGAGATGCCAACATGAGTACGCGGAAGAGTTCATCCTTTTTCATTGTCAGGAAGGGGCGAAAAAAATGAGGGGAGCTTCAAATTTCCGACCACCGCCGTTCCCTTTCCCCCGGGTTCTCCAAAAAGCGACCGCCGAGCGGCCATCCCAACGCGGGGTTGTAAGCGGGCCGGCATTTAATAAGTTAAGATTCACAACGTCATTTAATTGCGTTCAGGGGCCACGACATTCAACCGGCTATGGCCCGGACTCGCCTCCGAGCGAATAATCATTAATGGTGTACGGCAATTCAGAACAATAGCAAATAACCGCTCTATTGCAATTGGGTCTTGCGGCAGACGGCCCGACGTCCTGTGAACGGGTGTCCATTCGCGGGAATACTTTTGAACGAGACTGAAAAGACGTGGATCAGTTGAGGTTTTCCCCTCATTTTCATGTGCCCATCATGTACATCGCCTCATGCCCCGGCTTCCAAGAGATCAAATGTAACCCTACGGCAATGTCAATGTCACCTGAGAGACCAACGCAGTCCGACGTTTTGTTCCGGGACGATCTTCTCCCATTTCTCCAAACCGGAGGGGAGCAGCCGCCGCGATTTGGCCACAGTTCTCTAGCGGCACATATCCATGGTTACTTTTATGGGATGAACGCACAAAACATGTGGTCAACGATTACTACCTATACTGAATAATAATCACCGACCATGGATCTTGTGAAAGGATGATCAATACCAAGCCGCTGGATACTACTACCGAACATGCCGACTCAAAAGTATGGAGAACGGCTCAACTCTAAAGTTGCCCCCTTAATGTAGACGCACAGGGCCAAGACATGAAGGGGGCCAATTGGCAATTTATACTATGCCAACCACTGGGCCACGGAACCATACATGTCCTTGTCGCGGGACATGAGATCACAGGGACATACCGAGCCCAATTCACGCAGATTGACCCTGCAGGAATGACGACCTCTCTCCTCTTCTCCATGTCCTCGGCAGCTTGGCCAGACACCTCTGGTTTACTGAACGGTGTGGATCGTCACTGCCCCTCAAGCGGGGAGGAAAGCTCCCAAGAGGCTCATGAGCTTCAGGCCTCCGGGGACGTATAAAGGCGAAGACCCCCGGCCGCACACATCTGCGCTTCTCTCACCATCCGTCCCACAGACCTGAACGTTCCTTTATCAAAATGCATCTCCCCAAGATCGCATTCCTGGCCGCAGCGGCTTGCCTCGCCAGCGCGCAAAACTCCACGGGAGGTGGCAGCCCCGTCCGCACCCCGGAATGGAACGCAGCCTACGCCAAAGCCGAAGCCGCCATCGCCAAGCTCTCTCTCGACGAGAAGATTGGTATCGTCTCGGGTATCGGCTGGGGCAAGGGCCTCTGTGTCGGTAACACCTCGCCCGCGTCCTCCATCAACTACCCCTCGCTCTGTCTCCAGGACGGGCCTCTCGGCGTCCGCTACGCCAGCAGCGTGACGGCCTTTGTGCCCGGTATCCAGGCGGCCGCAACGTGGGACGTCGATTTAATTCGGCAGAGGGGCGCGTTCAAGGCTGCTGAGGCGAAGGGCGTTGGTGTCCATGTTATGCTTGGCCCTGCGTGTGGTGCTTTGGGTAAAGTAGGTTCTGGGGCCCCGTACTTGCGATTCAAAAGAATGTGGCTGACCACTGAATCTGAATAGACACCAAACGCCGGTAGAAACTGGGAGGGCTTCGGCCCGGATCCGTACCTCATGGGCATCGCAACCAGAGAGACTATCGAAGGCATGCAGTCTTCTGGCGTCCAAGCAACGGCAAAACACTACATTGTCAACGAGCAAGAACTCAACCGCGAGACGATCAGCAGCAACGTCGGCGACAGGGAAATGCACGAGCTCTACCTCTGGCCCTTTGCCGAGGCCGTCCACGCCAACGTCGCCTCGGTAATGTGCTCCTACAACAAAATCAACGGCACCTGGGCCTGCGAAAACGACGCCGTCATGACCAAGCTACTCAAGGAAGAGCTGGGTTTCCCAGGGTACGTCATGACGGATTGGTACGCCACCACGAGCACCGTCAGCGGCGCCGAGGCCGGGCTGGACATGATGATGCCGGGCGCCAACTACAACAACGATCCCAGCTCCGTGTGGTGGGGCCCGCAGCTCAAGACGGTCGTGGAGAACGGCACCGTCTCGCTGACCACGATCGAGGATAAAGTCCGCCGCATCCTCGCGGCATGGTACCTCCTCGGCCAGGACCAGGGCGAGTACCCGCCCGTCAACCTCGCGGCCAACGTCCAGGGCACGCACAAAGACAACGTGCGCGCCACGGCGCGGGACGGCATCGTGCTGCTCAAGAACGACGGCGCCATCCTCCCGCTCAAGGCGCCCAAGAAGATCGCCGTCATCGGGTCCTCGACCGTGAATAACCCGGCCGGCATCAACGCCTGCTACGACCGCAGCTGCAACAACGGCACCCTCGGCATGGGATGGGGCTCCGGAACGGTAGACTACCCCTACCTCGTCGCCCCCCTCGACGCGATCCGGGAGCGCGCGCAGCAGGACGGCACAGAGGTATCCGCCAGCAGCACCGACGACGCGCAGCAGGGCGCTACCGCGGCCGCCGGCGCCGACGCGGCGTTTGTCTTCATCACGTCGGACTCGGGCGAGGGCTACATCACCGTCGACGGCAACATTGGCGACCGCAACACGCTGGACCCGTGGCACAACGGCAACGAGCTCGTCAAGGCCGCGGCGGCAGTCAACGATAATGTCGTGGTCGTGGTGCACAGTGTCGGGCCCATCATTCTCGAGACGATCCTCGCGCAGCCCGGCGTCAAGGCCATTGTATGGGCTGGGCTCGGGTCGCAGGAGACTGGCAATGCGCTGGTTGATATCCTCTGGGGCACGACAAACCCCAACGGAAAGCTGCCGTATACGATTGGCAAGAGCGTCGCCGACTACGGCACTGCGGTGTCCAAGACGCTCGAGGATAACTTTGCCGAGGGCATCTTTATCGACTATCGCCACTTTGACCGGGCTGGCATTGAGCCGCGGTACGAGTTTGGTTACGGATTGTGTAAGTCTTTTGTGCTCTAGGGGAGGGTCGATGCTTCACTTGAGAGCCATGCTAATGGAATATGCAGCATACACCAACTTTACCTACTCGGACATCAGCGTCACATCCACAGCTACATCCGGCCCGGCCGTCGGCCAGGTGGTCCCCGGTGGCCGCGCCGATCTCTTTGAGGTCGTTGCCACCGTAACGGCGACCATCAAGAACACGGGATCCATCGCCGGCGCCGAGATCGCGCAGTTGTACCTTACCCTCCCGGCCGGCGCGCCCCTGTCTCCGCCGAAGCAGCTCCGCGGATTCGAGAAGTTGAGGCTCGGCGAGGGCGAATCAGCAGTAGCGACGTTCAACCTGAGGAGGAAAGACCTGAGCTATTGGGATGTCGCAAGCCAGAACTGGGTTGTGCCGGCGGGTACGTTTACCGTCAAGGTTGGAGCGTCGAGCAGAAACCTGGCGTTGGAGGGAAGCCTGGTCGTGTCCTAGATTCCGTGTACGTCCATAGCATATTGATTGATGCAATGAGACGATAATGTTGCAACAAAAACTCCAGTACCTTGAATTGAGGCCCGGCCGGCGGGATGTTCACGTGAGGCGTAATGAGGTTCCAAGTCCACTGACATACTAGGCGCAGTTCAATCCACGTCGGGCCGGGTGACACGGGAATAGTGGCTTGGCGGAAGCGAACATGCGGCGGAGCGGTCGTGGTTCCGCCACGGCAGTGGGCTCTCGCCGTCTCGCGTTCGGGAATGTGGGCGGAGTCTCCGAGATGCCGATGTGGACTGTGGCGCGGGTTCAGACTTTAGAGTCCCATCCCTGCTCCAAGCTCCAGCGCGCCGCGAGTGAGGCTCGGGCATCTTTTCAAGAACCTAGAAAATGTTTCGACATGTTCTAGAAGATAGCGGGGTGGGCCTCAATCTGGGCAGATTAGGATGTTACTGGGCTCATGCTTCTCATGAGTCGGCGACGAACGGGCGAACCTTGCTGCCGTGGAGCCGTGTCTGCCGTCTTGGCTGCTGGGTAGAGTACGGCCAGTCTACAGAGACTTATAGTGTGAAGTTGTTAAAGCCGTGAAGAAGCGCGAGGACCGGAAATAATAAGGTATTGCATTCAAAACATGATGTGATCTGAAGGTTTCCAAAACTAAAGTGACTCGGGGCTGATTTACGTCTGCGAGGCAGTGGGCGCGGTCTGAGGTGTCTGTGAGGCTGAGCTGGGATGAAGGTTATTCCCACGTAAGTTTTGTGCCTGGGGATAATCTCAAGTCAAGATGCGAGTGTAGCCGAGGGTGCAGCGGAGGTGAACCGTAGAAGATGACGAGACCGATTGCGGAGGTACTTGAAGCCTCACGGAGCCTCAGAATGACGTTATTGATGAAGACGACTGTTGTGAAATGTATTCTATAGAGTGTAGAGAGAGAGAGAGAGGCGGTGGTTGACGATAGTAAAGGTGAGGACGCAATCGCGGTGGCTCTCCGGACTCGCCGACTGGGACCCCTAACGCCGAAGACCCGAAGCACGGGACGGAGGGTGACATGGTCCATCCCGAAAGAGAAAGTGGAACCACCTGGTGGGGCCTAGCGCACCGCCTCCCCCGAACTCACTCACCTTTACTTTGCACTCTCACTTTCACTCTCACTCTCAGGCTCACGTTCAGTCCTCAGTCCTTATTTTCAGTACTCACATTCACTCTGAGTCCTCGCCAAAAGTCTGCCCTATCGACTATTGACGCTGCCTCGCACCCTGTCGCACCCCAGCCGGCAATCTCGCATCTCCCCCGCCGACTTCGCCCAGCACTGATTCGATATTCTTAGCATGCGCCTTGTGGGAATCTGCCGTGCATTCGCAATCTGCCGTCTGCAGGTCCGGTAATCCACAATCCGCGAATAAGCAAAAATTAAGGTGTGTTTGCAGATGGAACGCTACCTTGCGTCTCCTCCCGTCTGTACCTGTATATCCGAATAAACAGACTGAGAGTAAGGTCGAGGCACCAGGCATAATGTTCAGGGCAAACAATGACGAGCATACCTTCTTCTCTCACATCAGACGCTCCGTCCCACACAGACATACCCCATCCCTCAAACTCCATACAGAGTTACATCTCTGCAGAACGTGGTGCAGAAGTACATTCCATGAGAATCCCGTGACGGTATCCAAAGACTCGGCATAATGACCATCTGTCTCGCCCACTAGCGCCGCCAGACGATACAGCCAAGGCACGAACACATCAAACGCGTGTCGAACCATCCCCCGCGGAGAAGAATGACCTGCCCATCGTGAATTACGTGTAATATCAAACCATTGGGCGCTGAGCCCCGGCGACCATGTGGAGTGTCCGTGAAGGGATGGACGCGGGAGCCAGTGTGTAGTGTGTACCTCTGTGAATGTGAAGTGACACCAAAAAGAGGGGCCGCCGCCTTACGCAATTCCCTACCACCACCCCAAGCCCGAAAACTCCGCCCCAGCGCGACCTTGCGCCGCTCCCGGGATCCATCCTCGTCGCGAAGCTTAGGATTCTCTCCAAGTCACAGTCATGCCTTGATCACTCACCCCCCAGCTTGGACTGGTTCCCCTGTGAACCTGTTCAGACGACCGGTTTACTTAAGGCTGGTGTTCCCCAGTTCCCATTCCCATTTGCCTTCATTACTATCTTGTTCATCAACAAACTCGCCACTTACACTCAAACCTCGAGAAGCGAATACAAAACCACTTACACACACCACAACATCATCACCAAACACAACTAAGCAGCACCCACAAATGTCAGCACAAGACTACTACGGCGGCACCCGCCAAAACACCCACACCCCAGGAGGCGGCTCCTCCTCCCGCCACCTCTCCGCGGGCCCCCTCATAGATAGCGCAGGCTACCGCCCCCGCTCCGCAAACTCAGAACGCCCTCACTCCTCCTTCTCCTCTCTCGGCCTCCCGGGCTCCTCCTCCCACCACCGCTCCCGATCCTCCGGTCCACCAGGCTACGACGCCCAACTCGGCACAGGCCAAGAAGGCGAACGCGGCCTCGTCTCCACTATCGGCGGCGGCGCGGCAGGAGGGTACGCAGGAAAGAAGTTCCTCGGCGGGAAACTCGGCGCCGTGGCGGGTGCTCTGGGCGGCGCGGTGGTCGCGAATAAGCTGGAGCACAGGTTGAGTGCAAGTCATCACTCCAGCAGCCACAGTCATGGACACCACAGGCATCACGGACACCACCACCCGCCGCCTCCTCCGCCCCCGCCTCCCCATCACTACGGAGGTCATCACCACCACCACGGCGGACCTCCCCCGCCACCCTACGGAGGCCACCACTACGGTCCGCCGCACCATGGTCCCCCGCACCACGGCGGAAGCCACCACTCTTCCGGTGGCTTCGGCGGTCTGGTCGGTTCGTTGATGGGACGTGAGAAGCATGGACACCACGGCGGGCCTCCTCATCACGGGGGTGGTCACCACGGTCACCACGGACATCATGGCCACCACGGAGGCTGGTAGAGAGACTCGGATGGATTGATGACTATTTGGATACGACTGGCGTTTTTCGGGGTGGCTTTACTCGTAATGATGTTACTGTCTACTATATACCTGCACGGCTACTGCATTAGAGAGAAGTAAGAGGTGGACGTTTTGACATGGGAATATTCAGGGAAACCGATATCGATGGCCTTGCTGGCCTACTCAGATACCTTTAAGCGTCTCACGACGCGTGTAAATTCAGACTTGTACAAATTCATAATTTGCTTTCATTTTGCACGGTGACCAAAGGGTCACTATCCTATGCGTGTGTGATGCTACTCGCGGCCTTAGCCATGCAATGCATATAACATCCTGAAAAGAGAAACTCCAAGATTCAAAACTCCGTCAGAGGTGCAAGGCCCCCTTATGCTCCCCGAATGAAGCCCCCTCCCTGGTATAGAAGACGGGCAAAAACAGTCAACTAAATGCCCGTGTAATACTGAGAACCCGACCTCGGGCGAACAGTATCCAATGAGCAGGTGTATATATGTGTCCCAAAGAAAGCAAAAAAGAAAGTCGTCATCATCGTCGCGTTTCGCCCGGGAACCTTGCAACCTCGGTTCTTCCGGCGCCAAAACACGTGTGTATATGCAATCCAAATAAAAGCAATGCAGATCCCCCGGGTGATCATCCATGCGAAGAAATTCGAAAGAAAACAGGACAAAACACGGCACTCATACTCCTACGGCCCCTTCTGGCCGATTTCTCCCTGGAATCTGAATTTCGCCGTCATCGTCGTCAGAGCTGTCGCCCGCTTGCGCTGCTTGATCAATCATCCGCTCAATGTCTGCGTCCGCTAAGCGAGGCCGTGGTCGTGAGGTGCTGCCAAGGGCCGCTGGTAATGACAGTTGAGGACGAAGAGTGCTGCCAATGGTTCCTCCGGAGAAGCTGGCACTTCCGTTGATTCGCCTCCTCATCGGCCCTCGTGATTGAGGTGAGTCCATGTCAATGTCCATATCGCTCACTGCCGTCATACCTCCAGGGCTCTTTTCAAAACCCACACGCTTTTGCGGCAGGGGCCGTTGCGAGGGCAGACTTTTCCGGGGTTGTGAGCTTGGCAGAGCATGGCGACCAGGCAAGTTCGAGGCCGCCGACGACGAGTAGTTGTGCTTCATGTTGGCCGAGTTTCCGGGGCTGCTCATGAAGAGTAGTGATTCGATGGCATCCTGCTCTCTAACGTTTTGATGAGGTGAGAAGAGAATCGGGTCGATGAGTGGAGTCCGGCCTAACCTCTGATTTGGCGTCGCGTTGTTGTTCGGTTGAGAAGGGGTATGCGGTGACGCGCTGTGTGAGTGGGAGAGAAGAGTCGGAGTGTAGCGAGGGTTTGAATTTCGGCGCGGGTTATGGCCCCCGATTGGCCTTGACGGCTGAATCGGAGCAGGCGGTGCAAGTGTAGGAACGTTTTGATGCTGAACAGGTGCGGGAGGTGAGGCAGAGGTATGCGTGGATCTTTGGCCCTCCTTCCAGAAGGACTCGTAGGTTGCAGGGCTGGGACCAGAACTTGCGGTGGTGGCGGCGCTCACGGGTTGATAACGAGCCATATTGGCGCGAGGACTTGCAGACAGCTCTTGGCGGCCGTGCAAGGTGGAATGGCTTGAGGTGGGCGAGGCGGCCTGGGACGCCATGGATTCGACTTCATCAATGGAGTGTGATTGCCAGCCGTGATTGACCTTGAGCATTGCGTACGAGAGGCGCGTCTTGAGGTCGCTGGACCACTATACATTCTGGATCAGCCATGCTATCTTTGTTTTAGTGTCGCGTGCCGACTTACATCACCGATACTGCTGGCTGTAGTAGAGGCCATGCTGACGGTGCTCGTGTTCCTCGAGTGGCCCATCCGAACTGGAGAGGTGTTTTCCTTGAGAGCACCGTCGGCCATTCGCTTCCGGGCCGTTGCCATTACATTGTCCTCGGCCAGCTTGTCCTGGGCGGCGGCAATATGTGATAATTGAAGTAATTGTGACTCTTGGCTAGAATCGTGGCCGTTGAGGCTTCCTCCCGGCATGTCACCCTGACTGGCGGGCGGCGTGAAGACGTTGGCGGGTTCGGCGGACAGGCTCGAGGTCTGCGAGTCAGAGGGGAGCGGTCGCTGGTGGGCGGATGGATTAACCCGAGAAGGTGCGGAGGATGCAGCGATTGAGGCGATTTTGGGAGGATGGTGATCGGCTATGCGAGGAAGTTGATTTGACGCTGAAAAGGGTTGTGAAGGCTGCTGGTAGCTGGGCTGGGGTTGTTGGCCTTGTGAGTGAAGGTGAGCGTGGGCGTGGCTATGGAGATTGTGGTGGTGATTCGCAGTCGCGTCGCCCAAGGAAGATGCGGCTTTGTCGTTGGGGAGCGCGTCTGGGGAGGCGACGGGCTGGGGTCGGGCCAAAGGCTGCAGAGCACGACGAGCGGCTTTATTCGGGAGCAATCCCGTGTCTTGCAGGGCCGCGGGCGAGTGTATTTTGAGGTATTGTCGGTCGGATTCGTGTATATGGCCCAGCCGGGGCGGGATGGAGGCAGAGTCCATGGGCGGACAGATTGGTGATGCGCCGGACTGAAGTGTGGTGACGGAGGGTTCGAGCGGCAGACGGACGCAGGGACCGACTATGTTGGAGAGTGTATTCAAACACTGATCAGGACGATATACGGTGACGGGGCCGGCGAGGGGACAGGAGAGAGAGATTTGGTGGTCGGAGGTGTAGGAGTGACCGAGGTGACGGGTGAGGGTTGCGACGAGGATCGGGTGTGCGGTGTGGTAGAGGAACAGTGCGGTGCAGTTGAGTGTGGTGGTGGTGGTGGTGGGCTGTGGTCCAGTTGCATAGATAGGTGAGGTACGCGGACAACACTAGGCAGGTCACACAGGCGGTGCTGTCCGCTGTCGAGGCATTTGCTAACGGTTGCGGGCACCTAAGAGTAAGACGGTAGTTAGACGATAGGTAATTAGCTGGGGGGAATTGATGGACGGGCGGGGGGATGGAAGACGGAACGGGGAGCCTGGAGGAGCGATGACTGGGGTGGAGGAGGAAAAGGGCGGTTTACGCGGTCTGCGTCGCGTTATTTTCGCCCACCTGGCTTACCTTCCCGTCGGTTGTTCTCTTTTACAATGAAAGTCCCCGTATGTTTTTTTTTTCTGCCCAGGTGTGTCTCGTCTGATGTGTGTGTGTGTGTGTGGGCGTGGGCGTGTGTGTTTCCGTGGATTGTTGACTCTTGTTATCGTTGTTCTGGCCCTTGGGGGAGAAACTCCAGTGTCTCTCGGCTGTGTCTTGCAGCGGCTTCTCCACTGTAACAATGGCGAATTCCCCCCTCCCAGTCGTCCTGACCTAACGCTCTTGGGGTTCCTTTCGCTAAACAGACGGGGACCCCAGTTCGGTGGTCACGCAAGAGGATGCAAATAGGGTCTACAGAGAAAATAGAAAATTGAAGATGATGAAGACGAGAAAACTGAAAGTGTGATGCAATGGAAACTCATGTCAGAATTTGGCCAGTCAGTAACGGAAGGTAAGGTAGGCAGGTACACGGGGCGAGTCGATGCCCGCGCCTGCCAGATCAAGAGAAACACCCCGACCGAGGCGACGTGGACAGTGGTGGCGGCAAAAATCGAGCAACTGCGACACGCCCAGTTTCCCGCTCGGCCTGACTCAGCAGGTCAAAGACACGAAGTCACATGATGTTGTACCGAAGTATCTTCCACCATCATCACCACACCACCACCGCCTCCCGTCCCTTCCCATCCCTCCCCATCCCAGTACCTCACTACCACACTTCCCTGAATATCTGCCCTCTATCCGTATACAATGTTTGCTCTTCATCAAAGACCGACCTGCTGTTCCAGGCCTCTTCTTTGTCTGTGATTGGATCACTGAACGGATACCCCTAAAGCTGAAGTATTGCTGCCCAAGCCCAAATGTGAACCGAGCATACCCATCTCCATCTCTGAATAAGGTAGATTTAGCAAGGTAGGTATCCGTAGTCTAAGTCTCATATAAGATGCCCCCAATCATGCCTTACATGCAAACACTCGAGCGTATCTCCGTCACCGCTACACAATGCATTGTCCAAATCCATCAACTCCCCGAGAAATGCTTACTCATGTCTTCATGTCTCATCTGTAAGAGACTCTAACCCAATCATCCAGTTGACCACTTGTTGAGGGTCCTCTAATACTCCCGTACTCTCCACTCCAATCCACGACAAGTCATTGAACCGTGAACTCAACCACACGCTGGCTCGTCACCCGTCGCCGAGTATCCATGCGCCCCGCCATCCAAGATCACCGCTTCGTTGTCGCCAAAGTCATCCTGTACCCTCCTCCACTGCGTCTTTCTGTCCTTGCGGCCCTCCAGCTGCGCTCCCTTTCCCTTGGCATCCCACACCGGTTTGATCAGCCCTCCCAGCAAAGGGTTCTGACTAAAGGCTCCACCGCCGCCAACACCGCCCTGTCCACCCTGTCGTTGACTGGTGAGGCTGTAGTTCTCGTCTTCAACTTCGTCCATAACAATATCCTCTTCGTCCGGCGTCGTCGGCCGCTCCACAGCCGCCATCTTCCTGACTACCTTGCCACCCACCACGTCAATGCTGACCACCTGCCGCCGCTTCTCGTACTCGGGCTTTGCGTTCCACTCAATCTCGCGGAGGATCTTCTGCTGCCTCTTGAGCTCCTTGGCCCGCTCCTCGGGCGTCGACCAGATGTTGCCTCCGCTGCCGGCCATGGCTCCGCTGACATCAAAGTCTGCCGCCTCGTCTCTGACCGTCGTTCGCCGCGCGTTCTGCGCCTGGAAGTTCAATAGCTTGTCCCGGTGCTCCTTGGCCTTGACCTCCGCCTCGGACATCTTGTTCTGGCTAAATGGCGCCGGCTTCTTGCTGACCTCGGCCCGCTTATGAGCATCTCTGTCCGCAGCCATGCGCTCCTTTCCTCGCTCGGCCTTGAGCTCCCTGATCATGCCTTGTACGTCCTCCGACGACAGCAGAGGCGTGCCACAGAATGTGCATGGCCCCAGGCCCTCCTTGACGCAAATGACCTTGCCACACGACTGGCAGTTGGGTGCCGCCGTCTGCAGCGGGTGCCGTGTAGCAACGCAGTTGCACCTCCTTGCTTTCGGATCATCACCCATTGTCGGGTTCGTCGTCAGCTCTAAAGATCTAATAGCCGCGTCTAAATCGTTGAGGGCCGTGGATGCACCTGCCATTGGCGTACCTCCGGCAATCGATATCTTTGTAGGTTTCGTCGTAGGCTTGGGGGTAGAGGATCGTGATACAGGGTTCGACTTGGGCTTCGCCTTGACATCGGATATCAGGTAGCCTCCGGCCGTTCTTTGCTGCTGCGGAGGAGGGGTAGCACTCTTTGGTGGTTGCTTAGAACCCGACGACGGGGCCCCAAGTTGCGGGAAGGCGGTGCTGATGCTGTTGCTGCCGCTGCTCTCCGCCGCCGGAGCTGGCTTCTTCCCTCCATACCACTCGTCCTCCTGTGACTTCTTATTGTAGCTTGCTCCTGGGGGAGGTGCAGCCTCGATTTGTCTTGCGGCCGGTGTGTGTATGTTTGCCTTCTTCTTCTTGGGTCCCCGTGACGTCTTTGGAGCAGGCTCCGGGGCACTTGAGCTGGTCAAACTGGATGGCGGCGCTGGGGCTGGGGTCTTTTTCTCTTGTCGTCGTGAATTGAAGGAGGAAATGAACTCGACGGCCTGTGGTGAGTCGCCCAGTAAGTCGTTGAAGTGGTTTGCGGCTTCGGATTTCGACAGCGTGTTTGCGTAGTCGAGCATCTGCTTTAGCTCGTCCTCAGGGAGGGGCAGCAGGCGGGAGAGCTGCGCCAGAGACATGTTGAGAGTTTGGCGTCTCTTTCTAAGTGTATCTATGTCGAGACAGAATCGGCTTTTCGGATCGTGGTGGAAGTTGTTAGGGCAAGGGAAAGGGTGTAGTTGTGAAGCTTTCGCAGCAATTCAGATTTGAGAATGATGATGATGAAATTGACAAAAGTGGCGGGGTCTTTCTTTAGCTGATGTTCTTGGAAGCTAGCGCCACAGCTCCCCGCGACTGTCAAAGTTAGGGTGGGGTCAGCGCTGTGGTCGGCCGGCAACCCCCGCTGCCTGTCATCGAAGAGTCACTCGGCGTGATGAGAACATATCTCACTCTGATGATGAGATGGAGGGACTGGATATTAGCTGTATTTCATCTCCCAATGCGATTATTGTAGATTACTATCCTACTCAGTGACCTGAATGCCGCTAAACTCACACTCGAAAATTCTCATGTCATTTGAAAAGCATGACCTATTTATCGAAGCTTACCTATGGAAAGCATTCAGTCCTGCGTATAAGAATGAACCCTTGGATGCTGACTAAGTCTTATTCAGACTCGAACCTATGTATACAGACGAAAACACAATGAGAGAATCTCATCAGGCCATCGTTATTTTGCCAGTCTGCTTGCATTTGAATTCCGTCGTGTGATACTGTACAACGTGGCACAATCGAAAAGACCTTCCTTTCAGCCCAAAGAAAGTCTTACGTTGAACCATACTTACTGTCTATCTCAAGTGTTGAAGAGGAATTTCAAAGGCATAGGCTTTTTTACATGACCTATTATCATAGGTTACGGCAGTTCAAAACATGTTATCACCAGATGTCACAGACCGGGAGGTGCCAGTCGGAGCCGGGTGGAAGCCGGCTACGAGGCGCGGGCCGTACGGAGTACAACAAGACTGGGGGGTCATGAGGTCATGAGTCGGCGCCGGTTGCGGTGTCTTGAGAGTTCCGAAGCACCTTTTCGCCGACGTAGAAATGAAAGCAAATATGCGCACCAGTGAGATGGCGTGTTCTGGCTTCCCCAACTGCGCTGAGTATGCGTAGGTAGTATACATAGGGAGTACCACCTCGGTATGCTTCATGGGTAGGGCCAGGGAAGACATGCATATGTCGAGTAAGGCTGTCTGAAAAGATGTCACATGAAGCAAGGCGGTTCTGATGGACAGTGTAACATGTTCTCCGACGGATGGTAGGGGATCCCAGGGATGCAGAACCGAGAGTGAGGCCATTGTGCGTAGATCCCGTCCACCCATTGCGTCCGTTGGCTGGCTTCCATTAGGGAGTATACAATGGTGGTAATTGAGAAGGAGTCCAGTTCAGCAGGCTTTACCGTAACCTCGGGTCGAGGGATGTAGGTATTAATGCGGGATACATCATCTATCATATACACTACGACAGATGGGTTACAGCAAGGTAATCGTAGGGTAGATAAGCATGTGCCATGATGAGACCGTCCGTCCATCCATCCGAGGGCGTCTAACGGGTGCGGCAGAGTCGACTGCGTCTCTCGTTCCGGGGTTGAGTGGTAGCAGTGGAGAGTGGATGGTCGGGGACCAAGCTCGGCGATGGGAAGCTGAGAAGGAAGAAAAGGAAGGGGAAAAAAAGATGCTACAGAATGCACCGCAGTGCCGCAGAGATGTGTGGAGTACGTATCCTCTCCGGCGTTTCCCCGTGGTCTTCCGGGTGGCCGTGACGCTAGACCTGAATTGGAATTGGCGTGGGGTTTCTTTCCTGCTTGTTTTTTTTTTTGGCTGGCGGTCGCATCGTGATCCATCACTCGCACCTTGTAGCCTCAGGAAAGCAAGTCCCGGTCAGTCAGTCAGCACTGGAGTGTTGGTAGTAATAACAACCACAGCTAAGCTAAGGAAGGTAGAGACAAGAGCGGAGCCGAGAAATGGAACCTGAGGTGCTGACAAGGTGTGGAAAGAAAGGCCGGGAATGACGGGGGGAAAACAGTGGATGGTGGGCCCTTTCTGAAGCCTTCACCCACTCGCAGGGCCGCATCCTGCCATTCCCGGGCCCCCGTCAATCCACTGTCTGTGGCTCCCGTGTGGTGCGTGTGCTCTCTGTTGAGTGTCCTGTTGTCCTCCGCTGCTGCGCTGTTGCTGTGTGAGAGGTGTGTGCCAACTTATTTCGCGCGCCTCATAAATTTTTAAACCTCTGCTCTTTTTTTCCTTCCCTCATCCATCTTCACTGTGTACCATCTACCTACTACACATCCCCCCCTCCTCGTCGCAATCATGTCTTTCGTCCAGCGCCGCATGTTCTCCGCCTCGGCGAGAAGCGTAAGTCAATCTTTAGCTCCCAATTCCTATCTGGCTGCGCATCAAAGCAGAGCTCTCTCTCTCTCTCTCTCTTCTCCATAGCTCCGAAAAGCCGACCTCGGGGCACGGAACTGAAGGGAGACACAAGCTATGAAGCTTCGTCATGATCCAACGTCAACAAACACAAATGCATCATCACATATAATGGAAACAGCCAAAAGACCGTTCAGCTGACAACATGCCTATAGCTCTCCAAGGTCACCGTTCTCGGTGCCGCCGGTGGTATTGGCCAGCCCCTCTCCCTGCTCATGAAGCTCAACCCCAGAGTCACTGAGCTCGCCCTCTACGATATCCGCGGAGGCCCTGGTAAGTCCATCTCCATCTTCCTTTCCAGCAACACCCAATTGACTCCTGTCCAGGTGTCGCCGCCGACATCTCCCACGTCAACACAAAGTCCGTCGTCAAGGGCTACGACCCCACCGCCACCGGCCTCGCCAGCGCCCTCAAGGGCGCCGAGGTCGTCCTCATCCCCGCCGGCGTCCCCCGCAAGCCCGGCATGACCCGCGACGACCTCTTCAACACAAATGCCTCCATCGTCCGCGACCTCGCCAAGGCCTGCGCCGAGTCCTGCCCCGACGCAAACATCCTCGTCATCTCCAACCCCGTCAACTCCACCGTCCCCATCGTCTCCGAGGTCTTCAAGGCCCACGGCGTCTACAACCCCAAGCGCCTCTTCGGCGTCACCACCCTCGACGTCGTCCGCGCCTCCCGCTTCGTCTCCGAGATCAAGTCCACCGACCCCAAGGACGAGAACATCACCGTCGTCGGCGGCCACTCAGGCGTCACCATCGTCCCCCTCTTCTCCCAGTCCAACCACCCCGACCTCTCCTCCAACGCCGAGCTCGTCAACCGCGTCCAGTTCGGCGGTGACGAGGTCGTCAAGGCCAAGGACGGCGCCGGCTCCGCCACCCTCTCCATGGCTTTCGCCGGTGCCCGCATGGCCGAGTCCCTCCTCCGCGCCTCCCAGGGCGAGAAGGGCATCGTCGAGCCCACCTTTGTCGACTCCCCCCTCTACAAGGACCAGGGCATCGACTTCTTCTCCTCAAAGGTCGAGCTCGGCCCCAACGGTGTCGAGAAGATCCTTCCCCTCGGCAAGGTTGACGCCGCCGAGGAGAAGCTCCTCGAGGCCTGCTTCGCCGACCTCAAGAAGAACATTGCCAAGGGTGTTGCCTTTGTCGCCTCCAACCCCCCCAAATAAGTGCAACACTTTCCGTGTGTCACTTTTGATGTAAACTAGGGGACGTGTTGTAGTAGATGGAAACCTACACAAACAGGTTGAGCAGAGTTGAAAACAAAACAAAATCACATCCTCCACTACTTTTTTTTCAGTCTAATCCGACTGGCAAAGAAAGAAAAGGATGACGGGTAGACACAGAAGCGCACACCAAAAGTCGTGCTTTACCTACTCGTGGCATCGACTTTGCGTCTGCCTCTGTACCATAAAATTTCAAACACGCTTGACTTCAAACTTTATTCCTTAAAATGCCGTGATCCAACATCCCCTACGTTACACCGACTATTTCCTGTTGAAAGACGTGCATGCGTGAGCGCTTCGTAGATAGTCATTAAGATCTACCTACCTGCAAATAGCGCCTGACAAAGGCAGGCTTACTACATCTTTTTTGATGGTTCTTGTGTAGCAAACAAAAGTCTTGGTTACCTGATGAAGGTCCGGTTGTAAAGAATTTCAAGACACAGCTTCTCCAAAACTCAGACTACGACAAAGTATTGTATGCACATATCATGATGCTCATTCTCTATCATACATCTCTCCACACGCATTTTGCGTCTCTAACTTGTTTTGGTTACACAATTAGTCTAAACCCGACACATCTATCTACTGCCTCTGTCGGCCCGTTCTCCATGCCTCGAGCTGTTGGCGGCGCTCCTCCACCTTGCGCTCAAACTCGGCCACCTTCTCCTGCGCCTTCTTCTCCTCCTCTTCGTCCTTGATCTTCTGCTCTGCCGCCTTGCGGACGCGCTCACGCTCCAGCTGCTCGGGTCTGCGAGCAGCAATGTCGCGGGGGCGGAAGTCGGAAAAGAGGTTCTTGAGAACAACCTCAATGACCCAGCAGGCAGCGTAGTCGATAACCATGATGCCCGTCATGGTCATCTTGAACTCATCGCTAAAGGGGACCAGCTTCATCTGCTCATTGATCTCGGGGATGAACTCCATGGAGCAGGAGAAGGCCAGGGCAGAAACACCGACAATACCGTAGAACATGCCCTTGTTCTCGCGAAGACCCTCACGGAAAGGACGTCCCTGATAGTTGATGGCGAACGTGCTAATCTGCTGGATGAGCTGAAGCAGGTAGACGGCGCTGTTGAGGAGACTGGGCGCGAACTCGGCCTCAAGATCAACGTCACCGGAGCGGCTGTTGCACTGTCAGTGTTTGCTTTGCAGACGTAGTATCTAGGATAAACTTACGGCTCCAGTCTGTCACAGAACCGGGCAATGTAGATGAGAGTGACAACGTGGACGGCGAATTGTCCAAGAATCGAACCAATGATGTAAAAGTTGAAGATGTTGGGCTGGGGTCGCTCCTTGGAGAGACCCTCGACAACGCGAGCACGAGAGATGGACAAGAAGCACACGCTCATCAGAATACCGCTGATGGTGTACTGTCCGTCACCGAACTTGATACCCTCGAGGTACAACACACTCAAACTGTAAGCGCTAATGAGGCAGTTGAGAGCAAGAATTTTGTATGTCTGAATGGTCGCGACGAGTGTGCAGCGGCCCTGGCGAATGATGTTGGGAACGGCAATAACGTTGCGCAGCTTGCTGGTGAAAGGAGCCGCGACAGAGGCATCACCAAGCTTCAGCGTAGGAGGCTCATCATCACCCATCTCGGTCTCCATCAGGCTGGATGTCATCTTGTCGGCAAAGCTAGCAGCGTTGGCGGCAGCCTTGGCCTGACGAGCAGCGCTAGGGTCGTTGTTGTTAAGAAGTTGCTTAGCACCAGGGGAAGTGACGGTCTCGATGGCGCTGACGCCGTTAGCCTTGAGCCATTCCTCGGGGGTGATATTCTTCTTCTGGGCCTCGCGCTCGACAGCCTTGGTGAAGTGGGGGTTGCTAGTGCCAGGAGGGTACAGATGGGCGATCATGACGGGAACGGGGGGTGCGGGTTGGTTGAACCTCTTCATGAGGTCAACTTGCTTCTGGTAAATCTCCTTCATCTTAGTGTTCCGGGAGTGCTCGGCGATGCGAGTCAAGTCATCCATAGTGCCGTTGAGGAGAGCGATACCAATGTGGGCTTGCTTGAGGGCACCGACGTCGTTAGTTCCGTCACCAGCCATCAATGTATAGTAACCCATGTCTCGGAGACCAACGAGAATGTCCTCCTTCTGCTTGGGCGACACACGCGCGTAAACCCAGGCGTGACGGAGGATCTGGCGCCAGCCGACTTGGTCCTTGAACTTGGCCAGAGCGTAACCGGTAACACAGAGATCGTTGTTCTCAAGAATCTTGGGGTCAAGAGGCTTAGAGGGGTCGGCAGGGATGATAGTCTTCTCATCAACACTGCGCCAGACAAGCTTGTCGCCGCCCTCGTTGTCCTCGGGGGCGTCGAGAATCAGAACCTCACGGTCAACAATCTCAACGTCGCGGGCAACGTAGACAGCGGTAAGGGGGTTGTCACCGGTGATCATGACGACACGGTGGCTGCTCTCGTTGAGCATCTGGACAGCTTGCTTCGCGTCATCCTTGAGAGGGCAGGAGAGAACCAGGAAACCGGCAAAAGTGAGTCCAGACTCGACGTTGTCGCGCTTAAGGTCGTTGATCTTGCTACCTCCGAGCTCGTTATCAACAGTAAGCTGCTTGTAGGCGAGTGCAAGAACACGGGAACCGCGTCGGGTAAAGTACTTGTAGGTCTCTTCGTAGTCCGCAGGGATAATGGAGAGTCTCTTCATGATGGTCTCAGGAGCGCCCTTGACAGCGACAAAAGTGCCACGGATCCGGTTGCCAGCCTTGTCAGCACCGTTGACAGTGGCAACAGTACTCTGTCTCTTGAGGGCGGAGGAGAATTGAAAGCGGCGCTTGATCTGAACAGTTCCGCTGACGCCAGTAGTAGCAGCTGTGGTGGGCTTGCTGGTGAGGGTGTCGTTTCTACCAAGAGTCCAGCCGAGAGAAGTCAAAGTAGCCTTCTCCATTGGGTCGCCAACGACTTCACCCTCGTCAAGCTTGACAAGTGCATGGGCAGTAGCGAGAACCAAAGTGGTATCCAGGCGGATTTCGTTGACGGGGGTCATGGTTGAGTGCGCACCGTCGGCCTCGCGAGGGGTGCTCGTGCCCTCCTGACCGAGTCCTAGGCCAGCAATACCTTCAACAACCAAGTCCTCGCCGGTGAGGGTACCAGTCTTGTCGAAGCAGGCGATGTCAATGCGGCCAGCGTAAGGAATACGGAAGGGCTCGGTGCAGAAGATGGCAAGCTTGGCCAGCGCTGCCAAACTGGTGTTCACGGCAAGACTGAGCTCCATGGGCAGTTCAGGAGGAACGACGCTGGTGACGATCAAGACGCAGTCAAGCAGAAGCTTGGAGCGCTTGCGGTCCTTCTTGACACCCTCGTCCCAGACGTACCAGGAAGCGGCGATGGCGAAAATGAGGAGGAACAAGATGAAGAGCAGAGCCTCAACGTTGTTGGCGGAAACACGCTCGGTGGAGTAGATCATGGTGCGGACAAGGCTGCCCTGGGAGGTCTCAAAGCCGGTCTTTTGGACGATAGCCATGGCGCCATTGTCAGGAGGAGGAGGGACGCCGGATGCCAGCTTGGGCTTCTCTTCATCGGGGTTGCCGTGGGTGATTTGCAAAACCTTGGTACCACCCCACAAGAAAGCGTTCTTGTCAAGGCCTTCGGGCTCGATGGGAGCGTCGCTAGGGCGAAGCTGTACGGAATCCTTCAGGAGAGGGGTACTCTCACCAGAAAGCATGGCCTCGTTGACAATGGCGGTTCCTTCGACAAGCAGCATATCGCAGGCGACACCGCTGTCTTCTTTGGTGCGACCTACGGAGACGAGATCGCCAGGCAGAAGCTTGTCGCTCAGGACTTCAGTCCATTTGCCCAAGCGGTATACGTAGACATCATAAGGCTTAATGCTCATGCCACGGAACTCGTTGAGTGTACGCTGGCGCTGCCAAACGACGGTGCTCTCGAAAGCGACAAGCATGAAGAGGGTGAAGAGCGAATAGTACCAGTACTCGTCGAGCATCCACAGGCCAACACAGAAGATCTGGAAGACGAAGAAGGGTGCGACGGCGTGCTCCTTGAAGAGCTCGGTAAAGGTAGGAACGGGGATGTCGAAGGCGTTGGCGCCATAGTGCTCTTCGATTCTCTTCAGCTCGGCTTCGGTGGTGATGCCCTTGGACTGCTGGTAGCGTCCGATCTTGGGCTTTGGCTCGGCATCGATATCGTAGGCGAGGGTTCGGAAGGACTTGTCCTCGGGGAAGTAGATGAAGCGGCGCTTCTGGAACAAGAAGGTGGTGTTGATCTTGCCGCCAACCTGCACGAGTGAAAGAGCAAAGATCAGTCAGGCTGCGGAGAGCAGGAAAGGAGGAGGAGGAGGAGCAGGATGGCTCGCTTGTTCGCAAGGGGCTTGGCTTACCTTGTCGCGGATGATTTTACAGATTTCGGCAGAGCCAGCGTTGGCGACAGGAATGATCTTGACGAGCTCGGCCTCGTCAATTGACTTGGCGCGGGTGGCAGTAAAGGTAGCCTGGAGGTTGACACTCCAGTGAGTGCTCAGCCAGGCGAGGGACTGAAGGGTGACGATGGAGCCGATCCACACAAAGGTCCATTCCTCGGAAGCGATGTGCTTCTCGTAGAGCTCGGCGGTAAGGTAGTAGCGGAGGAAGATGGGCCAGATGATGGCAAAGGGCCAGACGTAGGCGTGGAAGTATGTCGGTAAAGGCTTCCACAGCTCGGCCACCTTGATCTGGGGGTTGTCCACGAGGGGCGCCATGGTGGGCGATTGCGCGCGATATCGTGGATCAAGCGACAGAACGGCGGACAAAATGAAAGAGGGCGGGTTGTTTTTCGGATGATGCTATGTCCCTTGTTGCATCGACAGTGGTTCTCCTGGTAGATGCAGATGGAGCACAACAAAGAGATGTTGCGATGTGAAGATGTTAAAGGTGACCCGTGTCAGAATCAGGGCTGGTTGGTGGTGGTGGTGGTGGTGGTGGTGGTGCACCAGTGGTAC